TTTGCCCAGTGTGGCTGATATTTCCCAGTTGGAAGTATCTTGTAGGGAGCGACAATAACTCTAAGGAAAAGGTCTGCATTAACCTGATAAGACTTTCTCATTTCCGAGATGCGGACACAGTCTGGAGCAAAAAGGAGATATGCAAAGGTCCAGCTGGGTTTCTTTTCACTGAAGCTTTTCAGTTATTGCTTTCCTTAAAAAAAAATAAATGCTGATCTGTCTTAACTATTGCAAAAGGATGCATGTAAACATCATCATGCAGAGGTTGGGAGGCGATGCATGTTTAAAATAATTGGACTACTTCTGAAGGTTTTATTCCCTAAGTTTTGTCACTTGGGGGGGAAAGCCCTTATTTCAAAAGTGAAAGGAACTTCAAGGGCTTCTGAAGCCACTGTGTTCTACTTTTAATGTGCTAATGTTCTTAATTCTTTGAGCCTAGAGGGGATTCTGCACACTGGCCCTGTTTCTCTCTTGCTGTACCTGAAATCTGGAAACTTCACTGTATATCTGGGCTTGAATTCCAAGACAGTGAGAATTTCTCACTCCCAGGAAGCTATAATATTGCCATAATGTGCTATACAATTGAGTTCTAGTACAAAAGCATGTGAACAGACACAGACCTCAAAAAAGAGTTGAATGTTTGATTTCCACCAAAAGCTGTTCCCCAGTTCCATGTAACACATGGCTGGCAAACGCTCACAGGGTATAGATAATAAAAAAAAGAGTTGATTTTATCTGCCCCCTGATTCATGTTCCCTGTGGATGCTTATGATCTCCTCCTCACCTCTTAAAGTAGCATAACACTACCTATATTGACGTGGGAGGTCTGCTGCCTTAGGGAAGTCCAGGCAGTAAGGTTGATTCCCCCAAATGTGCCACTCCACAATAAACGTCCTTACTTGCCTTTCTACTAAAAGGCAGTAGCTTTCTAGGCTTGAAGAGGGATCTGTGATAGTGTAAGGATATTGTAGACTTTTTCTGCAACATGACTCGCAGATTGAGGGAAGAAGAAGAAGAAGAAGAGTTTGGATTTGATATCCCGCCTTTCACTCCCTTTTAAGGAGTCTCAAAGCGGCTCACATTCTCCTTTCCCTTCCTCCCCCACAACAAACACTCTGTGAGGTGAGTGGGGCTGAGAGACTTCAAAGAAGTGTGACTAGCCCAAGGTCACCCAGCAGCTGCATGTGGAGGAGCGGAGACGCGAACCCGGTTCACCAGATTACGAGACTACCGCTCTTAATCACTACACCACACTGGAGCTGTTACAGGTAGAGGCATTGCTCCAGCGGGGGACGTCACCCCATCTAGAACCCCTAACCTGTTTTTTAGGTTATGGGTTATGTTTGATGCAGTGAACAGTGATGAAGCAGAAATTAGAAGTACTGGGCAGCGCTTCTGAGATCAGACAAGGGTTGCCATATTTCAAGAGATAAAAATCCGGACACAATTTTATTTTATTTTTTTAAAACCAGGACATTTGCTTTCGAATTTAAAATTGCTCCCAGATGGGCATGTAGGACCCCCAAAAGAGGACATGCCCAGGAATTCCCGGACATATAGCAACCCTAGTTCAGGGTGGTTATGACCGTAGGCAGAGCTCTGTAGCTCTGTTGCAGCAGCTATCTTCTGAACTCATTCCTGAGAAAGCACCAAGAAGAACTGAATTTTCCGTTCTGTTTAGATGGCCCCGATGGCTAAACTGTGGAAGCCAGCTGGTCTCCTTGAGCAGCTTTCAACTGAGGATGAATTCTCTTCAGTGAATGGTGGCTTTTCCCTCTCAAGGCTTCCATCTGCTCTGGAATGTTTGCATGACACGTTTACTTCTGCAGTTGCATAACTCCAAGGAGGCAGGGTAAAGATGTAAATGTTACACTGGGGTAATTGCTTTCCCTGGAAGGTGAGTGTAGTTCAGTGTTTGCCACGAGGGAGCCTTCCGAAGTAAGCACATAATGCATAATAAAGCCAAGGAATCCATTGTCACAAAACGCTATGGATCCCCATTAGCCAAAATTGACCTTTTAAAATAGCACTGCATTGACTTCATTTAGAAAATACTTGTATATGTAACTTTAGAAGATGCCTCGGCCTCTCTACTTGGTTGCCTAAAAGTGTAGTTATAATGGTGGAGTTTCTATAGTCACACATTAAGCATTGTATGTATTGCTTCTCACCTTAAAAAGGTAAAGGTACCCCTGCCCGTACGGGCCAGTCTTGACAGACTCTGGGGTTGTGCGCCCATTTCACTCTATAGGCCGGGGGCCAGCGCTGTCCGGAGACACTTCCGGGTCACGTGGCCAGCGTGACAAGCTGCATCTGGCGAGCCAGCGCAGCACACGGAAACGCCGTTTACCTTCCCGCCAGTAAGCGGTCCCTATTTATCTACTTGCACCTGGGGGTGCTTTCGAACTGCTAGGTTGGCAGGCGCTGGGACTGAGCAGCGGGAGCGCACCCCGCTGCGGGGATTCGAACCACCTGACCTTTCGATCGGCAAGCCCTAGGCGCTGAGGCTTTTACCCACAGCGCCACCCGCGTCCCAGCTTCTCACCTTAGATGTGCATAAAAGAGTTCATCGACATACTATCCCATTGTAGAAAAGTTCCATTTCGCTGTGGTTTCTATTTAAGGACCTGTTTGTTCTGTCAGTGATAGCCTCCTGTTGTGGTGCTACAGTCATTGGAGTTTTGTCCTAAGTGCTTAGAATTCCCTCTGCATGTAGGGGACTAAAAATGTAACTGCTAGAAGACATATAATGCTGTTTGCTGAAGTTAAGTGGGTCTGGTCAGTGCCTAGATAGGAAACTGCATGGGAAATACTGTACTTGTACATCACAAGTTCTATCATAGAAGAAAGGCAGAATACAGTGGTACCTCTGGTTACGTACTTAATTCATTCCGGAGGTCCGTTCTTAACCTGAAGCTGTTCTTAACCTGAAGCACCACTTTAGCTAATGGGGCCTCCCGCTGCTGCTGCGCTGCCGGAGAACAATTTCTGTTCTCATCCTGAAGCAAAGTTCTTAACCCGAGGTACTACAGTGGTACCTCTAGATGCAAATGGGATCTATTCCGGAGCCCCATTCGCATCTAGAAGCAAATGTAACCCATGTCCACGCGTCTGCGCGTGCGCAGGTCACGTTTCGGCGCTTCTGCGCATGCATGTGATGTCATTTTGAGCATCTGCGCATGCGCAAGCGGCGAAACCCGAAACACATTCAACCCGAGATATGACTGTATTTCTGGGTTAGCGGAGTATGTAATCCGAAGCGTATGTAACCTGAGGTACCACTGTATGAATAAGTAAGGGTTTTGTAAATTTATAAATTCCTGGGGGCGGTGGTTTGTTTTTTGTTTTTTTGCTTTTATGTCACAGATATACAGATGGCTGGCAGCTGTGTGCAGAGAGATGCACTAAAATAAAGTTTGTGGGCAGGTAATCTTTGTGGATGTGCACTAGTCCTGTTTTCACAGAGGATCCTTGTCCAGTGCCTTGGATTAAGAGGGAATGGACATCACAGAGAACAGAGCTTTGGGCAGATCCTTGTTGTAACTCAGCATGGCAATTCATAAGTTTTCCAATAAAGAAAGAGGATGTGTTGCCAGTGTTCAGTTAGTACTTGCGTGCCCTTTAGACATCGCTCTAGCTGAGTGTGAGCTACTTTTCCACATGGAAGATTCCACATGGCTCAGGACTCAGTGACACATGCAGTCCACCCTGCCCAAATGCTTCCATTATTCCAACACAGAACCCAGTTCCCTGGGACCTTTTCCTACTGGGGTTTTGTCTAGAAGATATGTGAGTAACTAGCTCAAGAGAATTGATGTGGCTCCTGTGTCCTTTTCATGCCGAAATTAAACAAGAAGTGAGTTTCTAGGATTCAGATACCAATAGTTGAATCATTTGGTGAACATAATTTCTTAAATGTCTAAAATGGGAATGATCAGAACAGCACAAACGTCCATTATAGATCCATAAAGTCCTGGGACTGGACCATTGAATGAAGAGAGGAATGGCTCAAACTGCTTCGTAACTAGCTGGAATTGCCAGTTTCTGTTCACCCTATTTTTACGGAGTGTCTAGTTGACAGTTATGTCAAATTATTGCAGCCTGGTGGGGGTTTTTTGTCCAGAACCAATTTGTGGAGGCAGCTTTGTTTCTTGTTTGCAATAAAACAAAATTGAAGCACCAGCTTGTCCAGTGTTGCACAGCATGTGGAGAGGCATACAACTACATACATTTCATTATTGATGGAAGATCAAAGGTTGACTTCCACATTTATTTATTTATAATATATTGCTTCCCATTAAAAAAAGAAAGAAAATAAAATACATGGTAGTTTTAAAAATTGCTACAAGAAATTAAAATTACAGTAGAAAATAGTGCAACAGGTTTAATAAAACCAACCCAAGGTCGCAACAAATATTGAAGGCAAGCGGAGGACTTACTTGCCCATATAAGATTCAGATAAGCACTGATTTGGGTATGGTAGAGAATCTCATACCATAATCCACTAAATCTGAATGGCACGTAGTTGGGGCAGGGTGAACATGAGGTTAGGACTATGTGGATGCACCAGCGGAAGCAATCTGGCACTCTTACAAGTGCAGCTGTACAGGTTTGACCCCACTGCTGCCCAATCCCTGCCTTCAGGTTATTAAGGTAAGTGTCATTGACCCGGTGGTCAGGAGGATGAGCCTATGGCACTACCCCACCACGCTGGCTGTTCTCGTATTTCCCCTCCGCTTTGCTCTTCTTGCAGAGAAAAGAGCTGCAATTGCACACTTCTCATAGCATTAAGCCCTCATTTTCCTCCCTGCTGCTCCCTACTGAACAGCTGATGGGCAGGATGAGACCCAGAGGCTCAAATGGCTGTAGGCAGTACCAAGGTTACTTTTAAACTTCTTACGTGGCTACTCCAGCCATACTGAGAGTCAGCTTGTTGAGTGACTTCTTAAGCAAGGGTTACGGACAACCAGAAATATGATTAGACAAGAGAAAGTACTTCTTTGGGCCATGCATACTTTAAACCATGGTATTTTGCTGCCATAAGATGTGATGATGGCTGCTAACTTTGATAACTTCAAACAGGAGTGAGACGAATTCACGAGGGATAAGACTCTAGTCATAATTGCTGTTTCCTTTGTCCTGAATGAGAGGCAGCATGCCTCTGAAGACCAGTTTCTGGCAAACAACAGCAGGAGAGGACCGTTCCACTTCTTTCCTGCTTCTGGGCTTCCCATAAGCACTCTGGGAAGTGTGATGAGCCTTTGGTCGGATGCAGCCGAGCTCTTATTGTAAGTTTGGGTTGATATGTTTGGCTGAACACCTTGGTCATGGACTCTCATTCGTGATGTGGAGTTTTTCAAGCATTCACTATGCTGTAAGCAGTGGCTTGATTCTGTCCTTAGTCTGTACATTAATGGAGGTAGAGATTGACTGTGTGTCCTTACGCTTTCTAATAACGTTGGAGCTTTTTGCTTTCAAGCGTACTACCCTTAATAACTTTACAGTATGCTGTTAATCCATTTGGTCCTGCACTTTTCACGCTTGCTTTTTAAAAAAAAAAATATGCCTCTTCCCAGACCTGAGACCTTGGGTTACCATAAACACCTCCTTCCACCCCCACCTGCTTATCAGTTAGAAAGGCTTGCTTTGAAAAAGTCAAAGAACCATTGGCCTAAACCATTTGCTACTGATGGGGTGGGTGAGTTAAAAACTCCCCTTGGTAAGCGATATACTTTTTATACTTGGGAATTTACTTCCTGATATTAACCTAAACCTAGCTGCAGTTGAGTATCGTTCTCCTTTGCCTTTGTCTTCCGTATTTGGAAGCTATCCTAGGATCCATCAGCGTCCTCGCTTCGCATTCAGATGTAAGTACATCACTTGACTTTTCCCTGGAGAACTTGCATTCTTCCTTCCTCTTTATACTAATTCTTTGTTTCCCCTGTGTTCTGCGAACTGCACCTAAATTAGATCCTTAAGCCAAAATATATCTCGGGAAATTGTTGCTCTTAATTGTTTTCCCCCAGTGAGTTCTCATTTATGAGCTTACTGGTAGTCAATTACAGTGTGAATTCAAAGTGGTAAAACTTGTGGTTGTTTGCACTTATTTTTATTTTTTTAAAAAAACATTAAGTGTAATGGGGGGAAGGCATTTGAATGTATAAAATGTTCATAATATGTTCATTATCTCTGTGGGGTGCTAAGTACCAAGATATATACTGTTATTCCAGTCTGATCTTTGAAAACGCCTGTTTCTTGACTGCTCAGTGATGCGATGTGTCGGTTTTCAGTCTCATTTTCCAAAGAACGATTGCTTTTCATTGATAAAAGCTGCACTTCTGGATTTGGGGCTCAGAATTACCTGTGTGCTGTACCTTCTACACACCAGCATCAATTTTAGTTCAGACTGAACCCAGAAGAGCGGATGACAGCAGAGAGTCTGTTTTATTGAAAATGAATTGCATTGGACAGTTGTTACTGTACCTTGCCACTGAAGGATTCAAATTTAGCAGTGGCCTGTGGCCACTTGTGTTCTAGACCAATGAAGTTTGAATCTGGTCTTGCCTCATCAGATGTAAGACTGACAGCTGCTCCTTCCTTGCAACCTTTTGAAGCAGTGTTTAGCTTCTGTTTCGTGAACTAACACCGTTTGACAGCCTCCTCCTTTAAAGGGCAGCTGAATACAGACACAAGGACAGAAAAACCTACCGAAATTAACTGCATGGGCCCCACTTTATGAGAGTTATTTGCTGGTGTGTGTGTGTGTGTATACATATACATATACATATACACATACATATACATATACATATACATATACATATACATGCCCTGCCTTTTATTTCCAGTAAAATGGGTGCGTATGTGTCAAAAGTGGCTTTTCTCTTTCTTTCGTTGTGCCAAGCCACAAATTGGAAGACTTGCACTCCCAGGTTATCATCTGATATCGTATTGGTTATATATATAATATTGATATAATTATAGATATAGGCTGGATTTATTTTTTTTAATGGTAAAATGTTAAGAGACAAATTGGATTTTTTAAAAGCTCATTAAAATACTTCCATGGTAATGATCCACGATTATATTGGTATGGGAAACTGCCTTACTCCGACTCAGGCCATTGATCAATCTAACTCAGTATTGACTAGCACTGATTGGCGGCGGCTTTCCAGGGCTTCAGAGAGGAGATTTCCCACCCTTCCTGAGGAGGCTGGAGATTTAACCTGGGATCTTTTGCATACATTTCAAATGCTCTACCAGTGAATTATGGCCCTTTGCCATTGTGGCCTCAGTCCTGAAAAGTAGCTTAGTTAAATTTTGTATTTTAGGATGTGCAACCAGGGGGTGGGGTAGGATCTCGCCAAAAGGTTCCTGCTTTGGTTTATATCTGCTATTCTGATAGATCTTTGTCTCTTTTTCTTTAGAAGAGTGTTGTAAAGATGGATATAGAGGACTGCAATGGACGCTCTTACATATCCGGTATGTTCTTATTTTGCTTTTCGCAGATCTCAATTTGTTTATCTTTATTTTTAGATGCCGTTTTGTCTTTAATACATAGTGCAAAAGACAGAATAAGACTTCTGCATTTTGGTCACAATAAACTTTTGGTTCGGCACCGGAATATTCAGCATGCCTCAGGTTTTGAGGAGCAACATGGTCCCCCCCCCCCAGCTTCCTGACATGACCTGCCTTCTTAGAGAGATGCACCCTTGGGGAGCTACTTCCAGCATTTTCGTCTTGCTTCAAGATCTCAGGGGTGGACAGAGGGGAGAAAAGCCTCCTCCCCACCTTTCAGTCTCTTACCAGTGATAGTTGCTCCATGGACCTGACTGGGGATGGAGTCATCACCTAAGGGAGTGTAACAGCCAGCCTCTGTTCTGATCAGCTGAACAGTGACCTGGCGATTCATGGCCTCTGCCCTCCTTACCCATATTCAGCTCAGAGCAGTGCTCCAAAGTGCAACTTGAGACAAGAAGCCATGCCCCGCCAGGTCATTGCACATTGATCTTGTGGCATGCAATCTTCTCCCTGGCTGCAGTTGGCCTGGAGCAACCCTCCAAATTCAGCTCAACCTCAAATGGATGGCCATGTCTTACTAAGTTACTGTTCGGTGCCTGCGAAAAATGCTAGAGCTCTGTATCTGCCCACCTGCCAAATTCGGCAGGTGTTTTAGCTGTTAAATATACCTGAGACATGCAACATAGTTAAGACTCACACACACAACAATTAAATCAGTTTGAGGATATTTGATTCATCAAAAATTTAGAGCAAATCCTTACTTATCATACTGAAAGAAAAGCGAACTTTTGGCATCCCTTTAAATTCCATCTGTTTCTGCTTGTTTCAGTTAGCTTGACCATAGGCAGTATTTTTGTGTGATGACCGTTTCATTAAATATGAGTACAGAAAGAGTTTGGCGATTGATAGTAAAATTGTTTCACTTAATATGGTGGTTACCTTATAGCTGGGGAAAATAACTGGAAAAGTTTCTTCCAATTAATCCTTAAGCATAGTTGGATGCTTCTACCTTATTTAAAATATACCTTATTTAAAATATCTTGTCCCTGATCACATTCTCTTTCAGAAGATAAGTAGGGCTAAGTTATAGTCCCACTCCATTTTGCCTTGGTCATACGGCACCTGGAGTACTGTGTACAGTTCTGGGCACCACAATTTAAGAAGGATATTGACAAGCTGGAACATGTGCAGAGGAGGGCGACCAAGATGATCAAGGGTCTGGAAACCAAACCTTATGGGGAATGGTTGAGGGAATAGGTATGTGTAGCCTGATAAAGAGGAGACTGAGAGGAGATGTGATAAGCATCTTCAAATATCTGAAGGGCTGTCACATGAAGAATGGAGCAAGCTTTTTCCCCTCATGCTCCGGAGGCTAGGACTTGTTGGTTTTTAAGCAGAGGTTGGATGGCCAACTGTTATGTATGATCTAGTTGAGATTACTGCATTAGAGGGGGTTGGACTAGATGACTCTGGGGATCCCTTCTGACTCTACAGTTCTATGATTCTTTGAAGCTATAAAGGCAGTTGCTACTCAGGAGTGCCACATCTGAAGTGCATTAACTGAGAGTGTTCAAATTCTTATTAGCAATACTAAGTGCAAACTGTAGTAACTTAAATACATTTTTCAGAAAAGAGGAATTGTAGAATGACCAGGTTAGAACACTTGCCTAACAGCCTGATCTAGTGATGTTTCTTTTGATGGAAATCAATTTTCCAGTAAGTATGCATAGGATAGGGACGCGGGTGGCGCTGTGGGTTAAACCACAGAGCCTAGGACTTGCTGATCAGAAGGTCGGCGGTTTGAATCCCCATGACAGGGTGAACTCTCGTTGCTCAGTCCCTGCTCCTGCCAACCTAGCAGTTTGAAAGCACGTCAAAGTGCAAGTAGATAAATAGGTACCGCTCTGGTGGGAAGGTAAACGGCGTTTCCGTGCGCTGCTCTGGTTTGCCAGAAGCGGTTTAGTCATGCTGGCCACATGACCCGGAAGCTGTATGCCGGCTCCCTCGGCCAATAAAGCGAGATAAGCGCCGCAACCCCAGAGTCGTCCGCAACTGGACCTAATGGTCAGGGGTCCCTTTACCTTTACCTTTATGCATAGGATAGGACAGCCTAATAGAGGAAGGTAGGGAAGGTAGAAAATATATTAGTTGGTTCTGTTTGTATAGCACTCCTATAGGATTTAAATAATTTACTCAAGCGTTTTTTTAAAAACCTCTGAGGGATTGTTTGCGGTAGACACTAAAATAAAACCAGACACTGGTTTTGAAGAAAAAGAAGTCAAAAGTGAATGATCTTATTTTGTTGGCTGTTTCTCTTTGGAAGAACAGAGCATAGAGTCCTCATTAAACAGGAAAAAACAGAGCCGTGAAGTAATTATGAATGAGGGAAAGATCATCAAAGCTACTTGCATACAAATACATTGGTGTAAATAAACATATTGACTGACTACAGTTCAGAGTGGGCTGCTGGAATAATGAGTTGACTTCTTTGTACTGAAAGCCCCACTAAATTGAAGTGAAGGAGTATGTTTGCTGGGGATGTATACCCACCCAATAAATGTCATCCTCTAGCTCATAGCCAGGTACACAAGCTCATATTTTGTCCTGGACAAAGGTTGTTGGTGAAGCTATAAGTAGATCAACAGTTATCAGAGTTACAAGGAGCAGACTGACCTGATGGTAGCCAGAATTGTTGAAATGATGGCTAGAATATGCAACATGCGAAGGAACAAGACAATCTCATTAAGTAACTACAGTGATACCTTGGTTCTCAAACTTAATCCGTTCCAGGAGTCCGTTTGACTCCTGAAACGGTTTGAAAACCAAGGTGCAGCTTCTAATTGGCTGCAGGAGCTTCCTGCACTCAATCGAAAGCTGTGTCAGATGTTCGGCTTCCGAAAAACGTTCGCAAACCAGCCAAGCCATTTGAGTACCAAGAAACCACTGTACTTGTAACAGACACTGTTTGGATTTAACAATCTTCAGGAGATATATGCAGTAGTGCCTTGAAGTTTAAAGATTGTATATTTGTTACATATCTTTTTAAAAAACAAAAAACCAGTCACTATCAGGTGAAGTGCATGTTATGAGGCTAGGTATGAAATAAGAACCTTTGTTCAACTATAAAAGTGTTGAGAGTGAGGGAAATCAATGACTTACATGCCACCAGTCTCAGTAATCAGTAGGCTGTGTCTAACTGTGCAGAATCAAATGCATATTTTGTGTGGCTGGTTTGCGAAATGCTGCTTCGCCTTTCATTCTTTAATGCTGGTAAATCATCCAGACCGATGAAGGCCAAATTTACAATACACCCCAGGAGGATGGAGTTTGTTAAAAGAGACCTAGTGGGGATCTGATTATGGGAACAGGATTCAAAGTACTAATTGTTTTGGAGAAATCCATATTTAGTCATCATTTTTTAAAAAAGAAAACCCCTAGAGGGCTGTGAGAACATCCTATGATAATAAAACTGAGAAATAAAGGAAACTCCATGGGCTTACGTGTGGTAGGTGTTTTCTTGCTGTGTTTGAATTCATAAAGAGATATTGTATATGCAATATTAGATCCTAAGGATTGTCATTCAAGCCATGGCTGATATCCTCTGCAGCCACAGATGCTGACACAGGGTCAGCAAAGGATTATTACCAGTCTGGTTCCTTTCTTTGAAAGCCTTTTCCCCTACAATGTACAGTCCAGGAGCTTCATAATCTGAAACATTTTCAGTCTTATCTGTTTTTCCCTTTTCTGCTGAGCTCTCGGTTATGCTTATGACATTAGTGTGACATGCAGATTGGGAATAGGCTGCTGACAAGGTGAGCAGAGCTAATCAAGGAAGCCGGTAGAGATGTTGATCGGTTTGCCTGTTGATGGGGAAATATTCAAGAGATATTCAATATTCAAGTGGTCATTCCTCTTCAGATGCTTAACTGCCTTTTGTTGTGAGTATGGTCCTAACCTTTATGGTGTGAGGACAGTCATATTTAGGGATTTTACTTAACAACAACCTTTCAGACTGATGCTGCAGGACATGAAAAAGACTTTTCGCCATCAGTAGGTCCACAAGTATGCTTTCCAGCTTTCCAGTGGCAGGAGTAATCTTTTAATCTGGCAAGAGGTCTAGACTAGAGGCACTCTGAAAGGAGGAAGAGGTCTCACTGCTTTCAGAACGTTTATAAAGCTCAGCATGAATAAGGAAGGAGGCTCTGCCCCCCAGTGGGGTGAGCAATAGCAAAGGTCGACAGCACCCACAAATTGTGGCTGACCAAGGCCAGCTGAAAGTTATGGGCTCCTGTTCTCAGTTCATTTAAAGCCAAGAATATATTTCAGGTTTCTTCAGATAATGGGGAATGCTCCGCGTAAACCCATTGCCATCCATAAGTAAGCCCATGAGTCTACTCTGGGAATGACTTGCATTAACTCAGGGAATCTGCTCATCACCTTCTTAGACTTCTCGTCTCATCCTGTTTCGGAATGTTGTTGGCTTTTTCTAAGACAACAAAGCTAGTTACATTTCCTAGTTTGTTACCCTTTTCCCCAGCTCCCCCCCCCCAACTTGAGCTAGAATTGCACGGTTGTGTACTCCTCCTGTTCTTTTATATTCCCATCATGGAAAATATTATTGTACGTGTGTTCCAAACGAGGAAAAGAGATGGAACTTCAGGTTAGGAATTGCAATTGTGCATGCTCTCTTTTTTATTTGAAAAACTGTCAGAGTGCCCACGATTGCACCTGAGCATTGACAGTTGCTCCTCCTCAACTAGTAGAAAGTGGACAATAGCCTTGATGTTTGGTTCACAGGATTTCCATTAAAGCACACTTCTGCAGCAGGACGGAGAGATGGAAGCACAGCAGTCCGTCCTCATTGGCCTGGGATAAAATATGGCAACCGTTATTGTTGGTGTAATCATATCAGGCAGAAGCAGGGAGGATGTATGTTGCAGTGTATACCTAGCAGGTGAGAA